ACTTGCCCTTAGCAAAAGTAGGGAATTAAATGTTATTTTTACTTTTCATCAAACTTAGCTGCATATGTGTAGAGCAGTATCAAAGAGCAATTACAGTTGTGTAATGTCTGCTGGGCTGAAGAGCTAATTAAAATGATGCTTGAAAAAACCACTTAATCTGAATGAGCGAAAAAAACCCCACTTAATCTGAATGAGCTCTTGCATTTTGAATAATAGATTAAAATTTTTTACTATTATTCATTTGCTCTTTCTAGTGCTTTACACACATCACACATTAATTTTCAAAAGATACTTGTCTGCATTTGAGTGTGTGTTGATGTAGTCAAAGAAGCACAAATGATTTGCTGAAGGTGATCAAATGGGCACATCATAAAACTTGAGGAAGCTTCTGGACCACAGTCATCCTTGGTAACTTTGGAACAAACTTCATCTTGACTGTAATATCATTCTTTTGGAATGAGTTTAGCTTTTTCCTCTGAAGTTTCACAGAGAGAAAGTTGGTGTTCAGATGATTATCTGCTGCTGTTTGTAAAAGGTTTTAGAAAAGCCAGAGATCATATTACACAATAAACAGCTAATCCACATTAGGTGATAGCTATAATGAGTCAGGATATGAAGACAGGCTGAAGATTCTTACACTTCATTCACTGATAATTCATTCTGACTAGATTTTTCTGTCTGGAGGAGGAGGCAATGTCTCTTTGTCGTTGACTTTAGTCTGAACATAGAAAAGGAGTTTAAGAAGAGATTACAGAACTCAGGCTGTGTTTTAGGATGGCCCCTCTCTCTAGCTGGGTGAATGGTGTTAGCTGTGTTAGCTGTGCTCTCTCTGAGTGTCAGAGCTATATTTATCACTCAGGAATTGTGGGCATGTTTTTTGTGCTCTGGCCAAACCAGGGCTTCAGTCACCATGTTTCTATTTCTTGATGTACACACTTGTTAGTTTGCTATTATTTACTCATAATTTCCTTTTCTGTCCTTTAAACAAATAAATATCTTCAAAAGAAGAACTAGTTGTTTCTAGAATAAGGTTTTCTCGGGGTGTTGTTTTATTAATGGAATGCCTTACATTAACAAATCAGTGGAAGAAGTGGTAACGTGAACCAGCATATTGAATTTCACTTTAGCAATCTGTATTCCAGAAGGAAGTCCTGAGAAGCAGTCATTGACAACAGAACCTCTATTTAAATTACAAAATAGGCAGTATGCTGAATGCATATAGAGCATATGAGAGATTAAATAGAAGTGTTCGTTTGTGTTCATAAGGTAACCAAGACAATAAAAATGGGCTCTACAACTAAGGACTACAGAAGCTGTGGTAATGAAAACAGTAATTAATATAATTTAAGTTACTATCCCCAAGGCAGCTGTAAATTGATGGTATTAATTATGCAACAAACCTGTTTGTAAATTGATGACATAGGAGCTCATGGAAGTCATCTAGAATAAATTTTTCGTTTTGAAGCTTTTTGGCAATATATTATGCAGCTGTCAATAGACACCAATGGATATTCAAAGGTTATTTATATTAAACCCTATAATTTGTATTATTCAAAAAACTAATTAATGTGAAGGCTGCAGTTATAAACAATCTGTTATTTCATGTGCATTAGATTGATTATATAATATAAACCAGAATTCCTTAGTATTGAATTCAATAGATGCCACGTTTGGTATTTTTCTGCCACTGTAACTGTATTGATTTAAGTGAATTCCAGCAGCAGGGAATGTATGATATTGAATTACCTCTGCTGTTACTACTGATTACAAAGAAAAGATGATAAGAAGTTTAATATATTTTTAAAATATATATTTGAACGTTAAGCTTTTTTCTTTATTGTTTACCTCTACATATCAGAGTGGCTATTAATAGATGTGATGAAGTGCTGGAAGTCCAGCCTGTTCATTTCTTTTCAGTTCTTCAAGGTTAGGAAGATCAGCCAGAGAGAGAGAGATGGTAAATGAGAGGAGTATACAAAAAAGGTGCAAAAATCTTTTTCCTACCTTAAATAAAGTAGTATGTAACAGTTCCTTCTGTTTCACATTGTTAAATGAAAATTTAAATTTTAAAATGTCACAGTATTTTTATTTATTTTTTAAAGGCATATAAAATGAAAGTAAGCACTTAAAAATAATTTAAAGCAACAAATATTTCTCTTTTGTTTTCCCTCAGTGGCAATGTTTGTATTTTCTGGCTAATCATGTGATATTTGCTTGTCTAGGTTTCTGTGAAGCAGCTTAGATTGCATGACCAGTTTTACCAGCTGGAAGTACCTGTTTCTCAATTGCTATGAGTGAAACTAAGAGGAGCACAGTCCTGTCACTGCTTAGTGCAGTATCTAGCAACTTGAAACTGTCTGAAGTGCTGTAATTGTATTTGCTTGTGTATGCTTTCTAAATTCTAAAATAATATACATTAGGGGAATAAAAATAATGTCATGATTTAATGGCATCTCCCACCTAAAAAAGAAACCAAACATGTTTGTCTATTTTTATGTATTTTCCAATCATAGTTTTAGCTTGCAAGCAATTTTGGTGATTATTTCCACAATGTCTTTAGGCCAAAGACAGCAAGGTTTTCTTTGTGTGTTCTGTAATTTTTCCACCAAAGCAATAAAATTGGAAGTGCAGGGTAAGACACATACAAAATAAGGTGATATCAAGATATCTCCATTACTGTGCAACAGCCTGGAGCCTCTAGTCCAATTTCGTGTTTGTATTTCCTTGTTACAAATATGCAGATAAAATAGTGGGAGTTTAGCAATGCTGATACATTATATTGGAATTTGCCATAAATCTGTTTGTGTTTGGGCTTGCTATTTGCACGCTTATTCCCTCTCTTCCTTTTTCTTTTATGAGGAATATTTTGCCCTCTGACTCAAGAATATCCAGTGATACAGAACAGCTGCTGTCAAGTGTCAAAACAAGAGCATGACTAGAGGGTGAGGTAGAGGGGGAAAATGTTTTCAAAGACAACCAAGGTGGTCAAAGTCATCATCTGCGCTTCCTAATTAGAGAGAGAAGATGAAAGCAAAACGACAGGTCTTCAGGAAAGCACAGGGCATCTCTAGCTGATTTTGGTGTAGACCCAGGTAGGGTGTAAGACTGCAGTGAATTGTGTCAGCTGTGCAGAAATCACTGAAGCTGATGTGATGCTCCTGCCCCTTGAAGGCACTTTGGGTGCAGCAGGGGCTGGGCTGGAGGTGCATCCCTGGCTGTGCCGTGGGGACTGGCAGCTGCTCGCCTGGGAGCATGTCCTTCAGGACTGAAGGTACTCAGCTGGCTTTCATCAGGCACAAGGACCAAGGGTTTATTGTGGTGGCTAATAATATTTAAAAATTGTGTTGTGTTATGAAAAGCAATGATCAGACTCAAGTACCTTAGCTCTGTCCTTCTCTCAGGAGATGTTGTTTCTCCTTCATGTAAAATAACAACCCGAGCTCCTGGCATGGTGCAGCATTTAGCTGTTATTCTTTCACTGTTGATTCAGGCAATGCATTATATATTCCAGTGCTTGGTCACTCGTGTGAAATGGAGGGGGAAGTAAAAATAGGAGAGCACCTTGTACCTGCACACCTGGATGTGTCTGAGAGAGCACAGTTGTTCCAAACTGTAGAGGAAAGAGCACTGGGAGCATTTCTACATATAACCTGCCTCTGTTTTGCCCAAGCACTCCAGGAGACAGCTGTCAGTAGAAGTAACTAATATTTGCCTAGAGTTTTTTAAAACTGGAAATCTGTGTCCATCATTTTAATGTTCCAGCCACAAGATGATTAAGTAATGTAAACCATAATTCTACTCTGTTCCATAATTGCTATTTACTTATGGATGCAAATTACAAAGAAGCATAATGAGAGTCATAGCTCTTCAATTTGTTTCACTTTAAACAAGCAAGCAAGCAAAAAAAAAAAAAAAAGAAGCTGAGGCAATAATCATGTTTTGCTGTGTGATTCAATACAGTTCAACCCTTTGCATATTAGATATCATTGAAAAGACAATTAACAGTCATAAGATTTACATAAGATATAACAAAGGAATATCAATGTACTTCATAGTTTTGAATCAGAAAAAATAATTTTTTACACCAACAAGTAGTGGGAAAATCAGCATGTTGGGTTCAGTGGTTTGGGGTGTGGTTCCCTCTATTTTCCTGGCAAAGGATGTGCAGTTCCTCTTCCTGATATCTGGCAAAACAACTGAGAGTTTTATGATGATGTGGACTTCTTCTCCCTGTTCCATCTCCTGTGAAGGGGATTCAGGTGATCAGAGAGCACTGTGATAAAATCAAACATTTAGGTGAAATTGCTTTCATTTAGTCTCTCTTTTCTTTGGTGCATTCAGGCCCTATATACACAGTCCTACTAAGAGGGCAGCAGAGGGAGGGAGAAATAAACAGACAGAAAAGCAACTAGTTGGTGTATGTGGCTGGGAAGCCCAAAGAAAATGGAGAAGACTCTTAAATAAATTGAAATTTATTTCTGACACTGCTCAGAATTAGCTGCATTTGCATCAGAAATGTGAACATATTTTGCTTTTTTCCAAAGAAAAAGTTTTTCCAATTTGGTTTTAGTTAAGTAAATACTCTAGGGGCTGTAATTTGCCTGGATACACTGGTATAATTGAATATTTGTTCTACTAAAGTGGAGTTAAACAAAGATAAAAACAGCCTTGAAATGGATTAAATGTGGTTTCCTGATTTTGTTATGGAAAATTGAAATAATAACAAGCTATTAAACAAAAGTTCTCCTGTCTGCTGAGCCATACCACTAGAATATAGAGAATGTTGATGAGTATAACCAAGGCAGTGTTTTGTCTGTTAAATAAAGCTTTAATACATGATTAACCAGTTAAAAAACCCTACCAAAATGATGACAGGTAGAGTTAAAAACATATATGTAAGTTATGTAGATTCATTATTTCACGTTATTCATATTATCTCAACTCTGATGAAAATTGTCTTTATTTGGGTAAAGAAGTTGAATTAATTTTGTGTTTTGTAGGTCTCTTCTCAAGAATCTGGGACCAAACCATTGACCTTCACATTCATACCATCCATTGGACAGCTTCCAACTCATTTTGAGGTTGTGGATATCTCTAAGTTCCTTGTGACAATTCCAGAGGAACCAAAGGATCTGAGCAACGAAAAAATTGTAAATAAGGTAGATTTATTTTTGCATTACTTTTTCCACTTCTTCAAAAGATAAAGAAAATTTTATTCTGAGCATTGGTGAACTGAAGCCCTTTCCCTTGAATAGTTTCTTGGCTTGTGCTTGGTTTAATTACCAAGATGTGGAATCATTGTGCAAGAGAAGGCGAGTGTCTGCTCAATAGTTTGTTTTGCCTTTGGCAGACTTTATATTGGAAGGAAACCCTTGATCATCTCAATTCTGTGCTCTGTCAGTCATGCACTGGCAGGTGAGGGGGATTCCTTCCTTTATGACAGCAAGGGTGGTGTGCAAGAAGTGTTATTACATGGGAATTGACCAGGAGTTGTTCACTGGATCCTGGTTTCAGCAAATGCCAGTGCTGTGGCTTCCAGAAAGGTGCCAATTCCTTTCACAGCTGCATGGTAATGTATCAAAGTGGAAGTGAGCTTTTGATTTTTGAAAACTGCTCCCTGTGATTTCCTGCAACATTGAAGCCATAAGCACAACATTCCTGGCTCTCCTTCCTTTAGTCAACCCTTTGTTTATTTGTTTCCTGCCTCACAACACTTAATGTGTTATTTTACTCCATGCTGCTTGAAAGGCTACTACAGTCCTCAGGTTAATATTAGTGCTTATGGCAATTCTGCTTTTGTGTAACAGCTCTTTCCCTGGGACGTTGCTGGGGCTGCAGTTCTGGGTGCTTTTCCATGTAATAAACTTTTCACAGGAGTTCACAGCCCTCTGACCTGAACGTGTTCCAGTATTCAGTGATCTATCTGTTGAAAGAGGGGTTAGGTCTGGGCAAAGGATGGATGTATTTGAAGAGACATGCACTGGAATATTATCCCTGGGTGGTTTAACTCATTAGTTACATTTACAGCTGCCCAATATTGGTTTTGTTATAAGTAATGCCCAGGGAAAAGCAGAATCAGGTCTTCCTGTCGTCCATCCCATGTGTTTCTCTATAGACAGAAGAAACTTCTTCTGGCAGTTGATGCAGCTGTGAGGCCTTCATAGCACAGACTTGACCCTCTACTAAAATGTCTGGAACCTGAACAATGCTTTGTCAACCAACATCAGATAATCAAAATAACACTGTCAAACTCATAGTGGTGATATCCCCCTTTGTGGTCCAGTATTTTTACTAAGAACTGAACTCCAGGACTCATGGAGCTGCCAGTGAAGTGGAAATTTGTAATTACCATGTTCCTCAAGCAGCAGTCAAATATGAGCCCCATCTGGAGGCTTCCTCTTGCAGAACACAATGTGTTTATTAATTTACCTGATTCCTCTTCCAAGGGAAACATGATTTACAATAGCAGGTTCGATACTGCATGCTTTAATGATATGTGTGTCATGTGTGTAATCTGCACTATTCCTGCTTACACCCAAAGCATGCTTGAGAAGTGACATACTGGATGTGGAAATTGCAGAAAATACGAGGAACAATTGTGGTCTGTGCTGCGAAGCTTGAAAATACAGCAAAGCTCTCTGACCTCTGAGTCTGTTTGCTCTCTTCGAAGAATGCCTTGTCTTAAGGGCCTTTGTTCCCTCATTAATATGTATAGGTTTTGTCCCAGATTTGTCTGTCAGACTCCTCTGAGGAGCATTGTGTGCTCCGTGGATCCCGCGGTCCGGGCGCCTTCCCATCGTGTCTGGTGTAGTGCGGTCTGACAGCTCATTGGGCTTGGCTGCACCCTCCTTCCCGCTTCCCCTGCTGCATGTCTCGGCCACCGCTGTCTCAGAGCCCCCTGCTGCTCTGTGAGTTGCTGGGAAGGCAGACCCCACAGCACTGGGACTCCCTGGGGAAGTGGCTTCTGCTGTGTACTCATGCCCAAATTCTTCATTTGCCTACTGCACTTTTGGTAGTGCAGAGACAGCCACTACCTAAAGCCAAAATTGCTTCACATTTTGGGGAACACAAATAAAATGCAGTCAACTGGAATATTTTTCCTTGTATCTTTTGCAGTCTGATGCAGTCTCTGATGAGCTGGTCTTAAAGAGTGGGGCCAAACAAGACTGTGTGTCCACTGTCTGTGCAGGCAGCACACAACCGGCTTTCCAGTCCCTGGGGTGTAATTCAAGCAAAGGAGAAATGCAGGAGAATGACCTTTTTAAGGCTGAGTTTATCCTGATTACGGACTCCGGTGATGAAGATGAAGTAGCTGCTGCCGCAAGCAACGTCCACCAGCCTTCCAATGGCTACAGTCCCATCAGTGCTCAGCTGCTGACCACATGCCATGTTTCCCCTGGCACCGAGGCACGGAAACCTCCTGGCGATGGGCACCTTCCAGGTGCTGCACTTTCCCACAGTACTACTGATCCACAGAACCATCAGGTAATGAGCTGTTTAGACTCTAGAGATAACCTTTGCTTTCTAAACCTTTCAGGATATGGAGCCAGTTTGTACAGCAGCTGGGTCAATTTGTTCTTTAATTAACATTTTAATTGGCCATTTCTGTAACGGTTGGACCTTAAGGAGGTGGCCCAACCCTTTTGACTTGCTGCCTCTCCACATGATTCTGGTGTGTGTGTGGAGCAGACGAGGCAGATCTATGCTTTCCTTTAAGAGCAGCTCATCATGACAGCAAGTTAATCAGGAAATGTTAGATTCCTAGCTAGTCTAAATTGGTAAGGTCATTGAAATCAATGGAGCCTCAAGATCATTTGAATTATTAGCATCAGACTTCCCATACCTAGATTTTTTTTCTCCTCAGCACCTCTTGTAGTCATTTATGCAAGAGAAAGAAGTTGTAAAAATCCTATTATTCTGATTATTGGTTGGTACACCTGACTTTGCACAGGTGCAAAGAACTAATGAAGATGAAATTTCTATTTAATGTGGATCTTTATAGGTGCATTTATTGACTTATTACATTTTCAATTCTGCCTGGGGCATTTCCAAAAAAGAGTCTTTGAAATGTTTCATTTACAAAATGCATCCATCCAAACTACTGCATGAAAAGTTAATGTCTCCCATCTTGGGAAGAACACTGATCTATACTGAAGGGTGTATAGGCAATGGAAAATTCCACCTTTAGCAAAATAACAATGTCCGTGCCACATGGAATAAATTCAGGAATTTCCTTTGACCTTGACTGGGTTACCATCACTTTAAAATGCAATTCTTCATTGAGAATTTAAAAACAAATGTTAAGCATGGCTACTTTGTTTCTGAAAATGATTTCCAGGATTTCCTATCTTGTGTTGAAATACTTTTGCCACTCAATTTTTCATAAAAGTTCATAAAGAGTCAATTTATGATTGAAGACATTGTGGATAAGAAATCCACTCTAGTCTGGGATTCACAGCAGTATGAAATGTTCATTGCTTCTGAGAAACTGCCAGTAAAGTCAGTGAGAATTTTCCACAAGGAATGTTAAAGTCATAGGTAAGAATACATAGAGGAAGCAGCCTGTAACAGAAACTTGTTCTGAGGAAATACAAATTTACTTTAGCAATGTTCAGGCTTACTTGGGTATTTTTAAAAAGAGCTTTTACAGAAATTGGGTGAATTTTAGAGTACTATACAGAAGAGTTCCTATATTGGATCTTTCTTAAGCTTCTGGCGACTTGAGAAGTAAAGAGAGATTTGGCTGGTGAGGTAACAGAAGATAAAGATTGTGCAGAACAAGAAATTAAGTCCAACTTTGCTAACTGTTCACTTGAACAGGAAGAGAAGCAGTATGTAATATGGTAACAGAAGCAGTATGTAGTATGGTAATTGCATATCTTGTCATTATTCTTTAGTTACAAGTTTTCAAGACTGTACTTCCTCAGTCTTCATTATCTTATTATCTTTAGCCATCTCTAGTGCTTCATTAAACAAATGGTTTTACCAAGCTGCCTTTCACTGTTGTTCTGATTCTAAGGTGTTTCCTTAGGCATCACTCTTTCTGACTTGTTATCTAATGAAGGCTCATCACTTCTGAAATGAGAGAAAAACTATGAAAATATTAAAGAGATGCATTGTTTACCTGTTGGTACATTTCTCTTTTACAAAGGACTCCATATATGGGCTACCTTTTCAGTTCTTGGATTATAAGGGCAGTATCATGTCCCTTATAAGAGGTATTGCATATAACATTATGTTAACTTAAAAACATAATTAGACAATGAGTTTCCTGTCAGATGTGAAAAAAGCAAGGACCAGTATTGGGGACCATTGTGTTGCAGAAGGGATCACTCTAACTGACCCAGAGGGCTCATTCAGCTTCATTCATTTCTGACTTTGTTTAAACAAAAGTCAAAAAAGAAAACATTAAAACATTGGAAATTTCTGTTCTGTGAGACATAGAGGTCCTGACTGATATTGGAAAATGCCATGCTATATTCAAAGTCTGAAAAAATAACTTGTTATTCTGGTCACATCTGGAACTTTTAACTTTTTTGGTAATAGTTTAATGTTTATAGATTGTGCTGCTTTTTTTTTTTTTTTTTTTTTTTTTTTTTGTTAAAGAGAGTCTAGCCATGCAAGAGAGTCAGACTGACTCCTGCCTTCGGGAATTTACCCTTTGGCTTGAGAGGATGTCAGCTTCCCTGAGAATGTCAGAGCATGAGCTCAACTTGGAGAAATTTCTTGACTTGCTGTGGGGGGTCAGTAACTGGAAGGATTTTTAGTTACTTGAAGTCACTTGATGTTCATCTGTCCATTGAGTGCCATCTGGTTTGGCTTTTCCAGACAAATGAGTCAGGGGTCCCTATTAACTCATGCAATTGCTTGGACAATGTGCCTTCCTTGCTGGGGGAAACTGGACTAAATAGCATTTATATTAATTGTGTCTCAGCTCGCAGTCTGGTTTGCTGTGTTGTCTCTAGGGATTTTTTCAAGTTTTCCACAGTTTCTGGTGTTTCCTTCTGACTTTCTGGTTCTCAGGTTGCAGTCTTTGTAGTTGCAGTCTTATTTTTTCCTGTCTATAAGGAGATTCTACTGAGGTCAAAGTGTGATTAACTGGGCCCAGGATCGGGTCTAAATTGAAGACATGATTCACTCAGACAAGATTTCTGCCTTTTGGCATCTCAGTTTGCACACTCTTTCCCTTTTCCTGTTTTACCAGCACATCTTTCAGGGTCTTGCTGGTATAACTAATCACATCTTTTGTGCCCTGCCGGAACAGTGTGACCTCACCAGAATGACCATTTCCCTTATCTCCAGCTCAATTCTGCCATTTCAAATGTGCTGAAGGTCTTCTGGGCCAGGCTCAGTATAGTATTATGTCCACTCTGAAAATTCTGGAATGATTAACTACTAGGCATCAAGATCTTTTCCAAGTGCCTTTATCCCTTTGTGCTAACATAACCTTGCCACCTATTTCAACTTTCTTCATACATTTTTGGGACATGCTCAGGAGAAGAGAAAAAGGCTTGCAGTTGAACCACAGACCAAAGAAGCACAAATCTACTTTGGTCACTCCTTCTGAACTAATCTAATTCACCTACAGGAGGCTTTAATCCAGTAGACAACCTGAACAGAAAAAATTCCATTGATTGAGGGAAGTTATTCTGTCTCACCTGGCACTGTTGAGGCTGCAACTGTAAAGTCATGCTCAGTTTGGTGGCCAGCAGCTCTCAAATTCAAGAGAGATGTGAGGAAGGGAATGGGGTCCAGCACAAAAGCGTAAATATGTTTGGGGCACATGTGAGCTGAGGCTGAAGGAGCTGGCTTTGTTGACTCCCACCAAGAGACAGCCAAGGAGGCATCTGGGAGCTGCCCAGAACCACTGGCAGGGCAGTTATGGACATGACAGAGCCAAACTCTCCTCTGCAGGGGCAGGTGAGGCAGCAAGAGCTGCAAATCACAGCCTGGGTGATCCCATCTGGAGCTGAGGAGCAGCTTCCTCAGTGGGAGGTGGTGCAGCACTGGCACAGGCTGCCTGGGGGTGCTGGAGCTCCATCCGAGCTCTGGAGACTCAGGAGACACGGCCACAGCTGACCTGAGCCACTGCTGCTGGTGAGAGCCCTGCTTTGAGTAGGAGGCTGGACTAGATGACCTCTGGAATTCACTTCCAAGCCACTTTGATTATGATTCCCTGATCCTGTAAAGAAGAGGTTGATCATCTATGGATGTGGTTATTAATACTGTGTTGCAATAGCAAAATCATTCCTGGAGACTTGATTAATGGCTCAATTAGCTCAGCACGTAAATGTTCAGTGGTATTTAAACTGGAAGAATACTGCAAAATGTGTTTATCTTACTTGCAGGAGCATATTTGTCATCTTCTACCATGAACATTTTTGTAGCTGCTTATAAATCTTAAGTTTTAACTAATTAGAAGTCAGTGCACATCATATGCTTTTACTATGAAGTTTCATATTTGTTCCTCACTTTCTTTTAATCTGTTGTCTTTGTAAGGGAAATTTATCTATTCTAGATTGAAATACAGAGATAAAATACCAGCTCTGTTTTGGTAGTTGATTAACTTCCAGAATTCATTATTAAATTCAAGAGGCTGCTCCAAATTATCAGATTTATTACCACACTGCTTTTCAACTCATTAAATAATTTTATCTTTAATAACATATATAATAATAGTTTTTCATAATGATTAAATGCTGGTAAATGATTCTCAATTTCCAGTATTTTTCCTTCTTCTTAATTAGCAGCATTTTCAACAAGAGTCCTAATTTCTCAATTGAATAGAAAATATATACAAGGATATAAACAAAATTAATTTTTATATCTAATATTTGTCCTGTATACATCCATTGACTTTGCACTTTGAAATGGGACACCTTAAAACATGTAAAAAATAGGGGAAGTTGGTGTTGTTGTAAAGGCATTCAGAGGTTTTCTGTTTCTTCCTATAAATAAAAGCATTTCCCTGGCTTTTCTGAAGTTACCTTATGCAGAAAGTGTCTTTGGTTTAAAAGTCTTGATATTTGTATGGTATCATTTAGCAGGAAGAGCTTGCTGATTTTAAGTTATAAGGGCTAATAAAATTTTGAAGTGTGTGTTTAGCCCATATTTAGGCATATTCTTGCCTTTGAAAGCTATTAAGTCTTGCTCTTCTGTTGCAGCTTCTTCCAGCATGTGCTCTTACTTGATAATTAGTTGTTTTGTTTTGTCTATATTGATACCATATTACATAATCATAATCATAATAATTTGTCTCTATTATGGGTAAGACATATGTATTAAAATATAATTCATAGGCTGAGCCACAGCTATGAGCAAGTCATGTGTTGAAACTGAATGGTATAATAGTCTTTCATAGAGCTGCATAATATTTTCAGGGTATCTAACAGCAGTTAAATAGGTGTTCTTATATTTACATCAAGTTTGATGAAATTGGAGTCAATTTCCCTGCTTTCAAATTGCTCAGTCAAATGTTAGGTGACAGTTTGTATCCTTTTGGTTTTACAGTTGACTTTAATAATGATTTCGTACTGTTATGTTTTATTCATATTGTGTATACCTCAGTTTTTAATTTAAGCATTATAATAACTTGGAAGATTTTGAGAGAATTTCTTTCTTTAGAAGCATGAAACTGTATAACAGGTTGATAATATACTTGTATGCTCTAATTAGTTTTGACAAATCCTAATTAGAATAGACCCAAGAAAAAAGACACTCATAAAAGAGCTCATTACTGTTTTATTAGTGTATCGAAAGACTGTGGAGAAGGGGATAAGGACTCTCACATGCCTGCAAACTGTCAAATGCTCTGCTCTGTGAATGACAGGAGAAGGGAAAAGCAGACTGGATGTCTGATTTAAGTAGTTCCAAGCAAATTTCTCATTCTGATATCACAGTGCTGCAGAAGGGCAGTTCAGTTGTTTACTGAATGAGAAAAAGAACACTTGACTTGAATCCTATTTTCAAAAAGGCTGCTTTCCAGTGAACTGGCAAAGTGAGATTGGACACTATTGCAATTTTCTTACCTTCCATTGTGTTTACATAATATGGATGGCATCACATGATTCCAGACACTCATGGCACTACTGTCTTGGGTTTTACCTAAAAGGAAAAATACTGCAACCTTGAACCTTGTTTACATCAACAAAACTGAAGTGTCATAAACCCTAAGTACCACATAGCTTGTCTGCCTCAGTCACTTCCCCATAAAAACCTTATCCATCAGGCTCTATGTCCAAGCTTCAAACAGCCCTATGCTCTTAACCCACACAGCAGTACTAATGGAAGCCCTGTACTCATGACCACAGGACTGAAATGTGGGTGTTTAACAGTTCCACAAGCTCCACCTATTTTAACAATTCTGTTTTTTTTTTTTTTTTTTTTTTTCTCTCCAGTTAATCTCTACTCTTTCCACCTCTGATCATCTTTCCTCTAAACCACCTGCTGTCCACTTAATGTCTCCAATTAATCAGAAAGTAGCGTGCGGTGCCATGGTTAACATGAATCAAGCCTCTTCGCTGGAAGATTCCTGTAACAACTGGCAGTCAGCAACCAGGTTTTCTAAGCAAGATTCATCTCTCTACTTTCAGTCTGCTTCCCATAGTTCACCTCCCTCAATGTCTAGAATATCCTCTTCTGCATCAAAGAGTTGGTACTCCACTCCTCGGTTGTCTGATAACCTACAAACACCAAGTCTCTATAACCCTGACTGTGTTTGCAAAATGGGAGGCTTCATCACATCCTCCGTTCCGGCAAGGAGTCCAAATCTTTCCTCCAATCCTCCATGTTCAACTGAAATTCAAGGATCTTTAGCTCATTCTATATCCTCCAGTTCTTCCAAAAAACTGAATGCTCTGTCTCCTCTCCCTGTACATATAATAACACATTCATTATCTCCTAGCCCTAAAGCTTTGTCTCCACCCTCTCTTTATGGGTCCTCTTCAACCATATGCAGTATAAATGAGCCTTGCACACAAACATTATCCAGAGGAAATTCAGCCAAGTCAGGGGTCAAATCCCCTCTGCCAACCAGACTGACTCTTTTAACTGCTATTCTGAGATCAGGCTCCTCTCAGCGGAGGCCGCTTTCTCCTGCTTCTTGTCCCACATTTTCCCCTAGCTCCCTTAGTTCCTCAACACTTGCAATAGATCAAAAGTTCAAAACAACCCCCCCAACCCCCAAGAAATCTCTTTCAAGCCCTCCTATAAGGCCAGATTCCCCCAGAAAAGAGGATTATTGGCTTTCAGGATGGGCTCAGCATCTGCCTTTACCTTCCAAGACTCATCCCACCCCTCAGGTGAGGTCCTTTTCTCCTAAAAAGCACCTTCCCCTTCAATCACTTTCTCCAGACTGCCGAGATTCTTTGTCATCCCCTCTCTCCTCCTACAGAAGATCAGTTGCCTCTCCAGATTTGCAGTCTTCACTGCATCCTCCTTGTGCCCCGGCTCCCTCTTCCTTTGCATACTCCACCTCTCCTTCTCCAGAAGGGCGGGGCCATTCTGCCTCCAGGTCCCGGGCACCTCAGAAGTCTCAGAGGGTGCACACTTACTCACCCATCTTCACTTGCCGGTCATATCCTTTGCTTCCTTCTACCAGTCCTAGTGGTGCGCTGTCTCCCCCCACAGAAAAACTCTCATCTCCTTCCCCAAGTTTTTTGCACTCACCTCCTAGATCTAGATCAGATTCATCCCAAACATCTGTTCAGGAGATCAGTGCCTCCTCTCCTACCCATTCTAGAATCTCAAAGCAGTGGTCTCTCCCACGGCCTCACTCTACCCCACTGGTTCCACAAACTGGTGATATTAATTCCCATCTGCTACAATTGAATTCTTCATTGGTGCAAGCAGATTTTAGATCTAACTCCTCCTCTCCGAGACCTGAGCATTCTGGCACCTCATCAGTGTTAAAGTGCAGCTCTCCCATCTCAGACAAGTCACCAGGCACACTGCCATCAAGACCCAGAGAGCCGACTTCACCACAGTCTTTTTCCCTGCCTCATGACCATGAAAACATCAAACCCAAGGTACTCTTGGTGCATGCTTATTTTATAATATTTGTTTGTCCTTCTAGGAAAAAAATCACATCCATGTTGCAGAATACTAGTAAAATAAATGGGATGTAGAAAAAATATGGAAAAGGAACAGGTTTTGTATCAATAGTGAAGATAGTGAAAAAGAAATTTTATGCTTCCAATTGCTAGCATTGTGTTCTGTATTATGGAAGAGATGTAGGAATCCTTTAGCATAAAAAAGAAGATATTTTATTCCTGATTTATTACTAAAGACGGATTTGTTTGCAGTGGCTCTGATGTACATTTAGTATACATATTTGTGAAGCTCACCTAAAATCCTGGTGTATCAAAAATCAACCATGAAGCATGTTTTATTCACCCCATTCTAAAATAAATCCTTATGTGTTCCCACGGAAAGTAATAGAATTGTGGTGATCTGAGGTGCAGGGCTGAGCAAGAAGCAGTTTAATTTAATTGATGTGAGCTTGCTGTTCCCCTGAAAAGTGATTGCCAAGCACCCCAGCCTGCCTGTCCTCACTTCCCTGGAGGCTTTCCTCACCCCAGCCACCCTGGGACTAGCCCAGAGGCAATAATGAGCTCAGCCTGAGCAAAGACTTTGTGGCCAAGGGCCAGCAAGGGAAGATGAGGACAGTCCCCTTCTCCTTCCCTTCCTTTTGTACTCCTCTGATTTTGTTGTGCTAGACAGAGGATGAGGGGGAAGGCAAAGCCAAGCTTCCTACAGCCCAAATGACTGCAAATACCGAAGTCTCACACCTGGCAGATCAGCCATGCGCCTGCTGTTTGTCATCCACCAGAGGCAGTAGAGCCACTGCCGAGTGAGAATGAGCAAGGATGGCAATTGCTGCAGGAGGGCTTGGGAACCAGCCACACTGTGGATTTAAAGGTGTATCTCAAGAAAGAGAAGAGAAGGGAAGGACAGGGTATCCAAAAACATGCAGCAGATAGGTGAAAACAAGAGGAGCTGCTATGCAAAAAGGAAGAGTTTGTTGCAGAAGGCACCAGAGCTGCAGGAGGCTTTCCAACCTCTTTTATCTTTGCACTCTATGCTTTCCTTGTGTTGTGTTCCCTTCCTCCAACTCATATCTGAGCTCTGTCCATCACACAAAGTCTATCATAGTTTATTGATTTATTTCCTCACAGCACAAAATTACAGCCTGGTCTGCCAGATCAAGTTGTGTCAGATGTACTCCTAACAGTTTGGTCATGGCAGGGGTGACTTAAAAAATGTTAATTGGAAATGAGAGTTTAAAATCAGCACAAAGTAGCAATTGTCATGAACGGTTCTTTTAAAATCCAAATGAGCCAAGAGGAACCGTTGTGCCAAGCAAAGCTGTACAGAGTTGTTACACCCTGTCAGTATTAGTTAATGAAACAAAAAGAGATATGAAATTGTAGAAATTCCAAGAAAAAAGCCCCTGAGACCAAACTGTAACACATGACCGAGCCTGCAGATTGCAAAACAGTTGCTCTTCCTGCTGGCTAGTGCATTGAGCACTGTGAGGTCTCTGGCAGTAAGGAAATTCTCTGCTTGTGACACAGAGCTATTGCTGGGTTTATATTTGCAGAGGTTGTTATTCTTCTGTCCTTCCTACTGTCCATTTTCCTACTAATTCTGCTTTATCGTGCAATATGGTGGAAATTTTGAAACTGCCCATGGAGACTGGAGAGTGTCCACCAGTATAACAGACTTGGACCATTAGTCCGGTCTAATTTTTAATCATGTAGACAAAGCTGACTCAGCTGGAGAGGTGGAAGACCTAAAATATCGAAATCTAATGCAGCTGGGTGTTCAGTGCAAGAAAGGTTTCTCATGGCTTTAAAATGTGAGTCAGAGACTTATCTGCTGTTAATAATACTGTCCATTCAACCCCCCTTCTGCTCACTTATTTCCATCCCTAGATTGCAGTATAGCTCAATGAACTTTGCTGATGTGTTAATGATAGCAGGCTGTCCAATGGTATTCCAGCCTCAAATCTCAGTATATTTCCAGAGAAAAAAGAAAAGTTTTGAGGAAAGAAAACTTTAATATCCTAAGCAGCATTTAGGTCTCTCTAGTACTAATCAGCTCAGCTTTATGACTAGACAAAAAGCAGATTGCTTTATCTGACAACTGTTGATGCATGACAAAATCTTTTAATGTATGAAAGCGCTAAGTGAACATCAAGGGAAAAAGACAGCATCTAGAAGTGCTTGCCTTTGGTGTGTAAAGTTTGGCATGTGTAATTTTTCCACCTTAATGTTGCTTCAACAGTCATTGCAGCAACATTAAGACACACATTAAACCAACGTCTATTATTTGGACATGCACCAAATAATGCAAATCAAAGGATAACCTATTAATTTGTTTAACTGTTTGTATATGTATGTATAAGCGTGTGCTTTCCCTTGGTTTATATTTGTTAATGATTTAAAAATGTGATTGTTTTGCAAAGTGAATATAAACATAAATTCACAGATCAGTGTGAAGTATTGGCTTTGGGTGACCATAGGAAATAAAAGCCCTCTCCCTAGACTTTGTAGATACTTTGATAATGTCCTCATGGACCTAATATAGCAAAATGGACAGTGAAACAGAGCAGGGACAGATAAATTCTGCAGGAATAGTTGTTAGAATAACAACTTCTAGCTTTCTATTTTGAAAAAACTTTGTAGTGGTTTCCTGGGGTATCATCCTTCTCTAGTCCTTGATTTTTCTTATTTGAATGTGGCTCAGGAATGCGTATAGATCTACCCAAAATAGTTGGGGAACAGACTGACTTTAGCAACATAGAGCTCAGCACAGCTACAAAACCTACCATAAAGCAGAAAAGAATATTCATGAGGAGCTCTAAGCTACCAAGATTGGCAGCACTGATTTTAAGCATTTATAGCACATATCTAGCAGATTTTGCAGGGCACCCGTGGGTGCCCTAGGTGTTAATTTGAACAAAAAAGCTAGGAAATTTCCCCCCAAACTCCCCAGACTGGCATTTGCCCAAGCTCTGATGTTGGAATTGGTTTGTTTTTGGCTGTACTGTGGTGCAGGCCAGCATACCTAACTGTCCATAACTGCTTAAAATTACTGCTAGATTCCTATGAAGCAGATTATTAAATGTAATTAGGTATGGAAAAAATAATTTTAAAAACCATGAAATAATGTGTAAAGAAAGATATTCATATAGGTAAGAAACCAAATCAAAGACTTTCCACTCATCGAGACCTGCAAAAATAGCACATTGCTCACAGATTCTACAGTATATGGAAGTCATAAAGCATGTGAAAACAGTATAGAAAGTTTTACATTTTAACAGTCTGTTATGTCTTTGTTTAGTTAAAATAATAGCACAACTAACCTCAAAGTGATCATAGTTCTCTTTTTATCTATGATGCACATTTCATTATATGCCTTCACTAGCCTAGGAACTAGTGAAGACATTGTATTTCACATGTTCAATGATATAATTTTAGTTGGATTTCAATTATAATCAAACAAGAATACATTTTGTGAATATGCCTATTTTAACATTTGGAATTCGGTCTTCCATCTCAGTGATCAGTATTTTATTTTATTTTAAAATAACTAAACATAAGTTTAGTTATGCATAACTAAAGTTTTACATATAGTTTTTGCATATGCATAAATATGTCTATAGAGTTATGCAGTGTTGCTAAGTGTTCAAAGGACAGGATTGACCACACATGACTTTTGACATTTGAAAGTTACATATCCAAGCACAATTTAGGTGATTCTATTTCAGCTAGTGGAGAGAATATGGTGTATTTAGAAGATTATTTTATTTTACCTTTCCATTTGCCTACTTTGGGATTAGATCAATTCTGTAGAAATACCTGTGATTATGAAAAGCATAAGTGTTGGCTGAAGAAACTGAATGATAGAAATACAAGTTAGAATCATTAAATCTCATATGAATTACTATCCCATGCCCCTCTCACCGAAAAATAGGAAAAAGTTCAGTTCCAGCATTTGCATTCATCTGCTTTGTCAAGCTGTTCATTCAATATGATTGCTGTGATTATTGACTTCTCAAATTACTCATTCTCCGGTTTCTGACTGAGTGAAGCCAAAAGCAAACAATATTATGTATAGAAAGAATTAAAAAGTAGTGCCCTACACTATTTCAAGACAGATGCAGGTGTGTGGATAAATTTCTTATCTGATTTAAAATTTTGCCCACTCTGCTGTCATCAAGACCTTTAGTAGATACAAAGGAAATGAAAAGTAAACAAGAGAATGACCCAAAGTACAACATGCTGTTTCAGACTGTTATCTCATAATCACCAGTATTTACTGTTGCAGGCAATGGTACATTAGAAAACCTGACCTGATTAACAAATAACCTTATTTCTGGCTGACTGTCACAGAAATAATCAGTTACTAACTTAAAGGTCTGTTTTTGTGTGAATTTATGGCTTGTCAGATTGTTGCCTAAAAGGGAACAATGTAGCATTGTAGCATATTATTATTACTAATAATAGTAATAGTAAAAGTTCTAGAAGTTATGTGATTTAAAATAGTACTTCTTGAACTCCTATAAGTATAGAGGAGTCTCATCAATCTTCTAAAAATTACTGGATTCAGCCTCTATATTTATAAATAAAATGTAAAAAATATGATTACAAAAAATTTAAAAATAATTGGGCAAACAAATATAGTCTAAAATATAAATTATTTGAAAATAATAAATTGTAAGGTTCATCTTAGAATTTTCATACCCAAGCCCATACATTTCATATGGTTTAGATTGCCAGTTCTGTTCATTTTGTTAGAGTGTGAAAGTTCCTATACTTATTTTGTTTGGGTGGTAGAGTTATTTATTCAGGAAATGAAAAGCTGCATGAAGATTTAAATGATCTATCTACTCAAATGAGCAATTCAGCATTTAAGAATCATAATCAGTCTCATGAGAGCCAATCACAGAAATCTCTCTGATTTCATGGTTCAGGATCATACCACTCAGCAACAGTTGTGGTGGTGGATGTACTGACAGATAGAAGTAGCTGTGCATTTTCATATCAATTCACAAGAAAACTTGGAAGACAACTTACAGCCTCCCCTGATATTAATTTAATGGTGGCAGTCAGCAGGAAGTGGTTAAACTTACTTTGGAAGCTCTGTGGTAGAGGGAATTTTCTTTGTCCTACTTCATTATAAAGAACAAAACATGTACATTGCTGGACTTTAAAGCCTTAAGAGAAACACTAGATTTTTAAAAAGAAATAGTTTTTCTAGGAAATACATAAGCATTGTTTTGTTGCAACATGTCTGCAAGATGATTGTAATTGTCTTTCATTCTGTCGTACCTTTCCCTTCTCTTCCCCCTCTCTCTCTTCTACCCTGTTTTACTTCTCTGCCTGCTCTCTGGTTTACCCTTTTAACAGTACAAGATCAAGACAAGCTACAAGGCATTTGCAGCAATCCCTACAAACACATTGCTTATGGAACAGAAGGTTAGTGTTTGCTCAAAGGCATGGGCACTGCATTGTGTATTTGAGACCATTCAACTTTGTGTACAAATTCTGACATTTCTGTTGGGGGATATTGCAGAATGTGAATTCTGGGAACTAACTAGTCAGGATTATAATTCCAGCCATTTTACAGGTCAACCACTTTCACTGAAGATCAAAGTGCCACTAATCTGAATTTCTGAAAATCAATTTACTATAAAAAAGGAAAAAATCTGTGTCCTAAAGGAATTGCCGTTTATCACAACATCTCGAAATCTGTTTTGTTATTGGGAAGTGTCTGAATCACTGCTGTTCTGGGACATGACAATCAGTAGATCTTGGTCAGTTAATGATTATTGAATGACAGCTGTGCTGACCCATAAATTTAACAATGAAAAATATGATATTTTGACCTGCTGTCTTGTTAAACTAAGAACCATCCTGGTCAGGCCATTGTCCACTGTTAACTTCCATTCTTCCTGAACACTGTGAGAGCTATCCAGTGGGCCATTCCCAGTTTGTAGTTTGTGGTGACAATCATTTTCTGTAGGACAGAAAATGATAGATTCAAACCCCAGACTTCTGTGCATTGATTTACTACCAAAGTCAGCAAAGGCAGGGCTGTATAGTCTTATTCAGACTTATTCAGACTTATTCAATTTAACTTGGAAAGCCAATTGAAATTTAAGCTTTGCATTAAGGGTTCAAAATACCCATGGACATTTATTTTTAAAATATTTTTCCCAAATTATTTTTGCTCAAAAGAATAGCTCTGTTTAACAAAAATTTTCTCTGATGATCAATGAGCTAAGTGTCTTGCATGCTTAAAGACATGCTGACATTCAGTTTGTAGCTTTATCGGAAAAAGCTTTCTGTTCAGGACCTAGTTGAAGAATTTAGCCTCTGATTAATTTCTTTAAACATTCCTGACTACACATCTAAGTATTTCTATAAGTATACAGCTCAGTTGATTTCACTAGTAGTTTACAAAGCCTGAAATTATTGATTAGGGTGAACTTAACTGTGTATAAAATTTGAAGATGATAATTTTTTTCCTTGAAATGTTACTGATTGTGATCGAGTAATTATCAGTTAAGTTCTATAAATCAGATTATTTTTCAGAAAAAAGACACATTCCTTTCTTTTCCAATGTTAATTTAATCTTGAATAATTTTCTTAATCTATTGCATAAAACCTGATCCTTCCCTTACTTAAATCTTGAATGCACTAATGAAGGTTATGTTTGCTTTAGCTTGCAATGTGGTGCAATAGAAACGACTCTGTAAAGGAAAATAGCTGATGCAGGAGATTCTACAACCCTACAGAATGTATTTTGGGAGGGTTTTGTTTGAGCAGAAAGCCTGTTAGCGGGTGGAAGAATTTGGTGGACTCCTGAAGTACCACTTCATGGTTGACTTCACCTGAAAGGCACTGTTTGTGCACTCTGAGACTGCACCACCCTGCAACTCAAGCCAGGTAGGTGGCCCTGAGCAGGGTACTCACTCTAAGATCACACTCCTGATGTGAACTAGTGGGCTTATGTCAGCTGTCTGATTGCACTTTTTCATAAGAAAATGGATTTCTTTTTGATGGTCGTGCTGGTGCTGTCTTGGGCATTGACTCACAACCTGCATGTTACTTATCCCAATACATAAAACTGATTTTTGCAATCAAATGCCAGGACCTGTGGAAAAAGTAAAGACTCAAAAAATGTCTGTGTTGAGATGGACTTTTAGTCATCCATGGATTTACTGAAAATTGTAGCCTTGGTGTATCCTTCAGTAGTGAAAGCAGTCATGTAGTGCTAATAAGAAATCAATTATCTCTTATAGGATTTGCCTTCAGGAGAGACTCTTGACTTAGTAACTTTGTAAGTGTGTGTTTCAGCATTGCCTGAGAACATGCTTTCTCCCACCTTGGGAGTCATGGATAACAATCTCCTATTGATCTGCAGCAGCAGCTAATTGTAGTGCTCCTAAACTGGTCCTGTTGTGTCAGCTGATAAGAGTTTAGAGTATGGCTCCTGTGAGAAAGCATGAAGTAGTCACATGGCACACACAGGCCCCATTGTACCAAGCCTTAATTTTAAAATATTCTCCTCAAAAGTGTTGGGTAGGGAACTTATGATACATTCTATCTCAGTGAGAGTACTTATGTTGTTCCCATTTTGTGCAAAGCGTTTTATACACAGCATTAAAAAGAGTGAGATTTAGGATAGTAAGATTGTAAATTGTATAAACAGTGTTTTATCAATATTCAAATAATTATTATATGATTAGTAAAACAACATAATTTTAGATATATTTTTTAGCCTAAGGTGCTAAAAATAGTGTTTTGCTATGTGATTAAATTAGAAATGCATGTTGTCAGAAGTCAACTTTTTTCCACTGTGTGAGTAATTATATTACTTAATTTAAGTGGTCATGAGAAATAAAATTAGTAAGAATTGTGTTGTGGGTGATCTTAGTAACAATTCTGCAGTATTAATTGGGTTCCATGACAGTCATGTGGCATGTAAGGTGCAATGATTTGACTGCCTCTAAATTTTCTCTTGGTGTCTAACTTTCTTTCTCAAGTTTCTTTCACATTTGTGTAGATGCTTCAATTTAAACTGGCATTTTTCAACTTCTGCTTGTGAAACCATTAGCCTGTCATTTTGAAGCCATTAGCCTTAATGTGTTTTCTAGAACATGTTCTTCTTATCCTCCAGTACTCTTACTCAAAGAGTGTTGTTCGAGTGTGTGCCCATTAGTAGAGAAGAAAAGGCTGATTGGCTATATATGTGTATACTTTGAGAAACCCAGAAGTGGCTTAGCCTCATCAAATCTCCCCACTGGCAAATCTCCCCAAAATCTTCCCAGCTGTTTGAGTTTGTATGGACCTGATATTTCTCACATAATTTCTGTTCTCTGCTCAGAAAAAGCACTATCCAGGCTATCTCTTGGAAGATTGGGCTGTAACTTCCTTCACAGCCAGAAGAGCAAGACTAGTTTTTAAGGGACTTACCCTCAGCATGGTCAGGCTCTGTCAGGGAGCAGCAAGAGGGGGTTGCTTTGCAGAGAGCCGAGTTGACAGCAAGGAGGTCAGGACAATGTCCTCACCACCACGGGCACAGCTCCACAGTGCCTGAGCAGGGATGGCAGAAATGCTGATAATGAGTTGGTGATACCCAGGGTCACTCAGCAGTGCCATCACAGCCACACAAATCCAGAGCTTTGAGTCAGGACCACAGACTGTGATACTGAACTATTCAGCCCAGCAGATGATAGGATCCACCGGCCAAATGAGGAAGCTGAACAAGTTTAATATAGGCATAAGGCAAAAAATTGACAGAGAGAATTAATTAACCATTAGAAAAAATTGCTGGAGACTGAAATAGGCTTTTTATCACAAAAATTGAAAAATGAGGATGGGACAGTTTTCTGGCTTCTCATATTCCAGATAGTCCTGTGGTTTAAAGACGTCATACTAGGTGAGCACTGTCATTCCTTCTGGCCTTATTAACACTGAGACAGTGAGTCACATTTCTACAGACACTCACTTCTGGGTAAGTTCTACAATTACATGGATGTGGTCACAGTCTAATTCAAAATTCCCTTCTGAATTGGGTATTATTTAAAAAAGTAATGTGTCTGTTATTTAGAGGTTGTATTTGTCAAGTGTCAACTACGATGCCTTTCAGTCAAAATGGATAGATAAAGAGTTTATTTCCAGGCGCTATAGCAAAATTCACAACTTTAAATACTTTGTGTTAAGAAAGAAAGGCAATAATTTGTGCAGTTGTAGAGTGATAATGGGCCTTGTTTGTCTGTAATAATAACCAAATGTGCTAATGTACGAGCAGCCTATGAACTCCTTCTTTCCTTATTTCAAGGGCCTTGAAAATAGTCTCTTAAAATAAGTACAACTTCATCTTCAGGATTATGTAGAATTTGATATGTTACTCAAAAACTGTTGTAGGCTTTGGATTGATTTACAAACCAAAAAAGTATTCTCTTAACAGTTCAGTTGACTTTGGTCTACAGCAAGCTCTATGCAGGTGAATGCATGGGTTTGCTGTATTTGTCCAGCTACACAACCCCTCTGCATACTGATTGGTGTGAATTTCCCTTGTCTGAGCATCATTTTGGTGCAAAGGAAACATGGACATACAGACTTGGTGCTGCAAATATTCTGCTCAGACTTCCCTCAGCCTGAACTGAGGATGAAGTGTGGCACATGTGTTACAACCCAGGATGAAGGAATTGTTTGGAAACAAACCTGTTTCATGGCTGAGGCTTATCCAACACTTACCAAGTCTTCTGAAAATCACTAGGTATGATTGGCTGTGGGTGGAAGGGATGCAAGTGTTGTCTCATTTGGATTGCATTTGTCAACTGTTTACAGCAGACAGCAATAATTTAAGTTCTAAATAAATGTAGAAAAAAATAAAACAGTCTTTCCATAGTTTGTTACACTTCTTGGAAAGTTTCAAAGATCTGGTAATTGCATTCCATCACCTGCAAAAACAGACTAAAGGCAGTGCAGCATATTCTCCTTGTGGAAGGAAAAAATAAAAAAAGGTATGTTCCTCTGCATGCAGAAGGGAAAAAAGAGGGTATGTTGGTTGGTTTTTTTTTATTTTTAATTTTTTAATTTTTTTTTAAAGAAAAGGAAGAAATGCAACTGAGGAAGTGTGGCAGCATTCAGGCTACATTGAAGACCCATCTTTAATTCTTACCTTTAGGAAACTCTTAGTTATTGTATTATCAAAAATCCATTGCTATAGGAACTGATCACAGCAAATGCAGATACAGGCTGCTCCTGGAAATCATACAGCAGGAACCTGGAAGAAAATTTTTCTCACTCTCAGTTGATTGAGCTGACTGTTGGACAATTGGCTATTATGAGGAATGTCAGAACTTTCTGGACCTGCAAAGCATTTCTGACAAGATTCTGTTGAGAATATCTTGATAAAAATAGATTTTCTCTGAATACTTTTGGTGTGCACTTACTAGGTGAATTTCTTGCATCCAGGTTATGTGTTCACATCAAAATGTTTCTCAAGGCTAGAGACAAATGCCTCGTGGTAAGAGAGAAAGGCAATAGGGCAGTTGTAGGACTAAATAAAATACCTGGTTTGTCTGTGATAATAATCAAATATGCCGATGTAGGAGCAGCCTTTGAGCTCACTCATTTTTCATGGGCCTTGCAGTTTTCAATATTAGTTATTTTATCGGACAGAAAATATTAGGTATAATTTCAGTAAAATTTTCAGTATAATCCCCCAGAATCTTCAAGAGAGAAGTTAAAGTAAATAATGGTATCTGGTAAAGGAAAGATGGTATGTGAAGTTCCATTGTACAGTGGGATTTTTTTACATGTGCTGAGGGCTTAGGAAAAGATAAAGATGGGGAAAATATGCTCAGTTCAGGGTTTTCAGAATACAACAATGTAGTAATTACATATCCTCTGAACAGAGAGAGACATGGTTCTCCCAGGAAAATCCTGGGAAGCTGTGTAGAAGCTGTAGGAAACGTAGAGGAAGGAATTCAAACAATTATTATCTCTCTTTCTGTAACTATTGTTTATAAATATGGTTCTCCAGAGTGTGCTATTCATAGTTCACCAACAGTGTAGGAGGTTTTCACTTTGAGACCAATCAAGTATCAGCTTAGCTAGTCAGAGTATAAAAGTCACAACTTCTTCCTAATAAAAAATTGTATTTTGCTTTTTGATGACTGGATTCTTCTTTCCATCCCTGACTCAACAGCATCACAGTAAGAAGAAAGTTATGTCAGATCACAAAATTCTTTTTTTTTTCCTCTTTCTATTAATGTTGTCCATTGGTGGATGAAATTATATTCTGCATTTCCTATATGTTGCCTGGACTTTTCAGTCTTCCAATGAAGTATTGGGGATTGTGTTTGGATCATTTACCAATATCCTTCCAGCTCTGATACAGTTTTAGCACCCAAAAAGGAAGAAAGAGGAGGGAAGGGTTGTAGTCGGCAGTGATGTCAATGGCACAAATGCATCACACCCCCAAAATTGCCCTTTTCAAGGAAAAAAAAAAGTGGTTCAGCAACTGGTTATTTCATATAAATTGCTTTACATTTTCGTTATCTAAATTATGATGTTCTTTTAAATTGTGGTACCACTGTTGTTTCACATATAATCAAAAATTTGAATGTCTAAATAAGAATGTTCCACTTCTAATATTGTTAGACCATCAGCATAGGAAGTGAATCTTGAGTACTGTTGATAGTGCTAATCAGCAGTATGTAGATAGAAATTAATCATAACATTTTTGCATGATGACACCAGTAATTTTGAAAATGTACTTGTACATTTTTATCTCTTTATTTTTTCTATGTGGAAATGTGAAAGAAGGCATGCTGGGAAAAAAAATGAGATGTGTTTTGAAAGGCTAACAACAGATTAAACAGAACTATTTATCTTTGTAGAGGTGTAGATTTATCTTTGTAGGGATAGTTGTAGAGAGTATAGTTTCTTGTTTGTACTCTTTCTTTGGAAAATTCAGCTGTTCAAATAAGAAAAAATGAAAAATAGGAAAAAGAGGAAAGAAAAAAAGAAGAATTAAAGAGGTGAAAGAGTGAATAAAATTAGATTAATTGGTTTGAAGATTAAAATTTTATTTTCCCAAAAGCACAGTAAGGGAGAGCACTGCAACTTTTTCTAGTGTGGCTCCTGCATGATGGCTGTATCTCAGAGGGACTGTGGAGAGCACAGACCTTGGTGCTGTGCTCACCTGAATTACTTAGTCACTGAAGGCTCCAAAATGGAAAGATATTTGGGAACTCATCTTCTGAAATGAATAGGTGCTTAAATTAGCCAGTCTTGGTTCTGAACAGAGACTTCTGGATGTAGCTGTAATTCCCCTGGAAAGATCCCCAAATCTTCAGGGTAGTTGTTTCTTACCCTTGATTTTGTTCACCCACTATTCTGGTGAAGTGAATATGAAACGGAAACTGTAGTTTTTTTCTTAGCAATCCCTTTATTATGTTTATTATCCTCCTGGTTTCTTAGGGGTTTTGAGAAGCTTAGACAATTCCCCATTCCAAATCCACGATTGATTAAAAGTTTTCCTTTTTCCTAACTCACATTCAAACTCATCATCCCTCTACATCATGTTTTGTCAATCCTGACCCTAATGGGTACTGAAATTACTCTTCTACTTAATTTTACTGCTTATTGAACCGGGGAACTGTATTTGAGTGCAGTGCTGAGCTCTCTTTGGCTGAGTCCTCCTCTTCAACAGGACTGTCTGTCTTTTTGAAACTCTAACTGGGTGACAATGATGAGACTTCAGAGATGAGAAAGGCTATTTATCTTTTCATGGTCTGTCTTGGGATAGGATTACATTAATTTCTGTATATCAAAGTGAATTTTTCTTTCTTTTACTTTTAACCTTTTGAACTACAACTACTCTAAGGCAAACATATCTGTCATTTGTCAAAAGACAGAGAAAAGAAGAAATGTTTGGAAAGCAGCCACTTTTAATTTCAGTGGAAGACATGGTGTTCCATAAATGTGCTTTTGTGCAAGATCATTTGTGGGTGGTATTATAATAACATTTAAAGTAAATTGTCATTAACTTTTTGCTTAGGTGTTCAGAGATGTGTGCTGCCAGTAGCTGGACAAGGAAAGAAATCAAATGTAGTCAGCAAAGTAGAACTCAGACATAAGTATGCTTCTTTTCTTTTTTTATTTTTTAAAGATTCTGACATTTCCATCACAGGTCCACATACATATCCTGGATCTGGCAGCCCTCTTACCCACCTCAGTGGGACCAGTCCGTTCACGCAGAATCTCACATGCATGAAGAAGGGCTTTACTGGAATGCTCTTTCTTCCTCTTATACTTAAAAAAAATTAACACAATGAAACCTTACAAAAACATAATGTGTTAAACAAAAAAACTCCACAAACCCTGCAGTTCCCTTCCCTGTAGTCCAGCTTCAGCAGACACATAGCAGGCTTCCAGAGTAATTTTTGGTCTCAGCACGGTGTCTATTTGAAAATCAGTTCAAAGCAAAAACGGGTGATGGCAGGGAGAATGTGCTTCATAGATGCTGGATGAAGATCAAAAGGGAACTGAGCAGTGGATTTTGGCTTTTAAGGACCCTTATAAAGTGAAGGGATTGGCAAAGTGATTTCCACTGTTTTCAAGGCTGCTCCAAGTACTGGTATAGGAAAGCGAGTGGTATAGCCAAACACAAGAAGGTTGTGTTTTGTTTTGGAGAGATTACATATGTGCTTGGTGTAAGAATACAAATAGAGTATGGAATATATTTTGCTCCATGCATTTCTGATTTCAGGCTAAAACCCAAGAATGGTAAGCACTATTTTTATTGCAAGGTGAAACCACCATTGTCTTTAAACAGGAGACACTTTTCACAGAAAACATCTACTAAAGGAAAAAAGGGTCTCCTGTGTGTTTGGGTCCCTGCCTTGTCCACCTGCTCATAGGTGGTGGCTATCTGTTGGCACACAGCAGGCAGCCCCCAACACCTCTGAGGCACATGATGCACACTCACCATGTCACATGTACTGTGAAGGAGGTGGCATTGTTGAAGGAGAAGACAATTGGAATTGGTAGTTTCTGATTTTCCAAAAGTGGAGATGATTCATCCTGCTTGAATACTTTCTTCTCTGTAAACCCATACCTGCATTCTGAATCAGGTTTTGGTAACTTAAAGAACATCACTAGGCCTGTAATTTCTTTCTTTTCCATCTTTCCATGGTGAAAGAGAAAGTGCCACCTTTAGAAAGAACTATTGGAAAAAGTGTATGTTTGCTCGGTTTTCAAAATTTTCAGCTGTGTATCACACCAGTACCTCTTGAATTGCAGGCATTAGAAGAGCCAACCAAGCCTGCTAGTGTGACTGAAGGCCCTGCTTTGGACACTCATTCAGAGGTAGTGATGTTATTTATCTTTCAGATCTATATTTGAAATCAAAAATCAAAGTTTAACTGAGTGATCCATCCTCCCTTTTCAGATGTGCTCCCCTGCCCAGCTCAGACAACAAACAGAAGAGTTGTGTGCTGTCATTGATCAAGTCCTGCAGGACCCCTTGACTATGGTAACCCATCACTATGTGGAATGGACTTATTCTCTTCCTTTCCTTTTGTCTTCTGTCATTAACATGTCCATTTTCTGTTGAAAATATTTTTCCAGCGTCGGTGTGAGTCTTCTCCAAGTTTTCTGCAGATGAGCACAGAGTCAGATGTTGGCAAGGTAAGTGAATAAGCCCACGTCCACAGCAAGGGCTCTTTTCAAGTAATTATAAAGGCAGGCAAAATCAGTAGGCAGTAGGGACTGCTGCGAGAGTAAAACCAATGGCAACTCAGAGCTACAGCTGAGAAATGCAAAATCAAAAGTGTTTGGTGGTTAAAAAAGCATGGAAAGACAGAAATGTAGCCCTGGAGTCGGTGCAGTCTTTGCTGCAAGATGCTTTCCTGAAGTCAGAAGGAGATATATATGAAAGAGAAAGAGTGTATTAAGACTTCAGAAGCTAAAAATCTCTCATACCTTTCCTGCCATATGGCAGGGTCTCTGGCCTTCTCCCAGACTTCATCCCACCCATGCGTGCTTACTACAAAGCAACCAATATTTCTAGCTTTGGTGGCTGAAATCATCTTTCAGAACTTAGGTTTTTTTCAAGTTCATTATTTATTTTATAATAATGGGAGTATTAAATTAATAGTTGGACTTGTTCCGATGTTCTGATTTAAATTTAAGTCTCACCACTCCCAGAAGGAGGATGTCTGCAATACATCTTTCTCCTTGATAGCTAAGAAATAGGTAGTAAGAGGCAGGGTTACTTTTCTATTTCTAAACTTCTGGTTTCATTAAGTCATACTGATGTGCCTTCTGGGTTCAGGGTGGCTAACCAAGGGATTCAGTTTTGCATTCAGTTTGCTCCAGGTGAATTAAAGTTACTCATCACAGCTATAGGAAAGTGAAAATGGCAGAAATGCAACTAAAAATGGCAGGAAAGGAATTTCTGGCAGATGAACACATCAAAAAGTTAATCCATTCAAAATATCCTGCTGAATGTCTAGTCCACCATGCAAGAAAAGGACGTAGGTCCAGCATTTCTCAGTGGCTATATTGAATATACAATCTAAATTTAATTTCTGTGTTTGAAAGTACTTCTGTCAATCAGCATGCAGTGGTGAATTGGACTTCAAGAGGCTGAAAGACAGAAATGTGATAGCAGGAGAAGGATGGGCAGACAGTGTAATTGAGTATGTTTTCCAATGCCTGAAGAATCTGGAGTGGTTAAAATGCTGCTACCAAGCTGAGTTAGAGTATCCAAAAACCACTTCCTTGGGCAATTGAGAATGGAAGGCATCTTTTAGCAGTCATGAAATCAAATAAAGGGGGGCAAAAGGTGAGCTTAACAGGATGCAACATAGGAACCAAGCTAAAAGTGTTGAGGATCTCAGAATGAGGTCAAAAAGTGTTTAACAGAGGGTAAAAGAAGGTCATAGACATGGAAGAAAAAAAGAGCTGATAAGTGAATGCCTTAGAATTTTTATGGATTAGTCAAATTAAAGCACATTCTTGCAAATGAAAGCATGGAGATGTAATATTTTTTTTATTTTGCGAGCAAATGTAACTTCAATTTCATAGGGCAATGATACTTATGATACTTATTTTGTTATGAGAGTTCTCACATTAAATATCATCCTCAATATAGCAGGATCAATGGTTTTGAGCAGTAAAAATTAAGTAGTATTTTCTACAATAAACATACATGCAAAGCTTAAATATGCCTTAGCCTCATGTATGGTGTGAATATTTCTGGAAAACTGAAGTTTTCCTGAATTTGTGCAATTAATAAATTCTCAGAAGGTTGTAAATCTCTTGAAGTTACTGTTCAGAATAACTCAATATATTGATTATATATCTATTTTTTTTTTACAAGATGTCAACAACACTGCAGAGAGCAGCTGGGCGTGAAACCAGATATGTAAGTACTTTTACAATTGCTCTATGTTTTGCATGTAAAAATGCTTACTCTGTCTGCTCCTGAACAATCCTGGCTGAGCCTGAGCAAGTATCTGCTTGTGATATCAGATGTTGACTAGCATAGACAAACACATATATTACAGTGCTGGCATTTGAGACTTGAGGTGTCTTCTCACTGTAGTAAATCCACCCCAGCTGGAGTCTCTTCACTGCTGTGTCTGTTGATAATTTCACCTGTGTAAATATGATGTTAAAATTAACTTCCTCACACACTTCTTTGTTTTGTTTCCTTCAAGCCTGCGGCAAGGGTTCAGCTGTTTGGTAAACAGACTGTTTGTTATGGGTACTGAAGGGTGCATTTCTTTGGACTCAGCCTGCACTGTAGGGGACTTGCTTTGGTAGAAATCCTGTAGTTCTTGCTTACCCTTCAGAATCTGGGATTGATCCAAACTTTTCTTTCCAAGATACAGATTTGGAAAGAAAAGTTGGCTGAAAACCCACAGTTTAGATGAATTGAAGCTGTTTTGTCACATACACACACATTCCAACATATGTTGAAAATATCTATATTGAGTCATTTGTTCAATTATTGAAACATTAAGCCCAATTAACATATTAATTCTCTCTAGCATACACAGTTACTGCAGGTTCCACATTTCACTTGCAACTCATTTAGTCATGTGGAGAGAAATCTCAGCTTCCTATTCGTCATTCAGAATTTCTATTGAATCTCAAATCAAAGCAGTGCTGGCAAAGCAGCAGAGGTCTCCCAGTTTTATGCCAGCACAATGCTTGACTGATCAATTCAATTTTGCTTCCTGAATGTGGCAGTATGCATATTTTACTGCACACTGTGATTTTTGCTTGACAGATTGTGCTGGCTCATACTAATTAGGAAGAATATTAGAGGAAAGCTTTTTAATGAAATAAAAGAGTGTACTTCAGACGTAGTCTTTGAGAACAGAGTGTATTTAATAATACTCCAGTACAAATCTCCAGCTCTCAAAACTGAAATATGGACATATACCATAATTTCAGGCATCCATCTTAGGGAAGCCTAGGGATGGCATGGAAAATCACCCTTACATACACTTTTTGTTTCTGTTTCCAGCAGAACTTTCTAGATGAATGGAATAAATCAATATTTAAAAATATGTTTGGGAATTACCCAGAGGTTTATTGGAAGGCCAATCCTTGCTATAAGGTGTACAGGTGTGCTGAATTTTTTGTGTGTCAGGAGACAGACTGGGGCCCCCAATCTGGGCTGTGGTGCCTGAACTTGATGGGTCCAGGCTCTCCTGTGCTCTGCCATTGCTGTACTCTGCAGAGTCTCCTGAGGGGCATATGAGGTGTCTCTAATAGCATAGCTGCATCACAACTCTCTCCTCCTCTCTAAATTTGCTTCCTTAGTAGAATATAAAAAGGCTATTTCTGCCCCAGTTAATAATCCAGGCAGTGGTTTGTCCTCTGGCCATTGGAGAAAGGACACACAGAAATGGTTTTCCATAGAGTTATCTTCTTTTTGTATCTATGATATCTAATACTGAGATGCTTGTCAAAATGTTGCTTTGAAGGCATTTTTGGTTAAGAGTGGCTTAAATTTTTTTGTAAGTAATGCTAAAATATTATTTATAACCACCACATGTAAAGGTATATATATTTATACATGGTAATATTTCGAATTGCTTCAATAGGTTATACAGAGTAGTAGATTATAAAAATATGTTGAAATAACCTGCCATTTGACAATTAAAATGTCATAGATTTGCCTTGGCATCAGCTAACTTTTATATTCTCATGAACTTCAGAACCTTTTAAGGATGTAAATGATTGTACAAACAGCAAGTGAGTGTATAAAAAGTATGAAAACTAAATTCAGTTTGTACCAGCTGACAACTAAGTACTACAGTTGTAAGTTAATTGCATTTAAAACTGTATGGTGTTTGATATTATTCTATTCACCATTTAATAATAATGCATCTCTGCTGGCTTTAGGGATGATACTGCTGATTTTTAATAATAATACAATGATTCTCTAGATAGGAATTTCTCATGATTAACTGGAAAAATGAATGTCCGTATTACTGACATGTATGCTTAAGCAGGATTGTTCTGGTTCTCCTACTATAAAATGAGGAAAGATGAAGAAGGTACTCAACCCAGTACTATTCATAATGTTAATAACACTGATGCTGCAAATTAACAGCCAATGGCAGGCTCAGAAAAATAAGATTTAAATTTCAGGATTAAATGAAGATGAAAAACAGAAATTTTGTTGCACTTGGAAAAAAGAATTCCTAAAATCTTAACAGGCATTTGACTATATATAGAAATAAACTGGAAATGAGAATATTCTTTCATACCACTGTGTCAGTGGGAAAGCCTTCTGTAGATAAGTTAAGCCTAGTGCTGTACCTGAATTTTTTTCTGTCATCATTATAATCACAAAGATATTGCATGTAATATTGTATATATTCATCTTTTTTGCAGGCCAACCTTTACAAATCAGTGCCTACAGTAACTGAGAGTCAGCTGGTATGTAGAGTACAGCTGTGATACACTGTTTTTCAAATTTGCACAAGCACAAAATTGTATTAATTATTTGCTTTCTTAGTCCTTTGAAAAAAATTCCAGTCAATATCTTTTTACAAAGCTGCACTGCTTCTACAGAGCTGTATTGTTTTTTGGTTTTTTTTTTTTTTTTTTTTTTTTTTTCTGTGCTGAATATACACGTGTTTCAAGTAGTTATAAATCCTGATACTACTTGTAAACCCATGGGCCAAATGCCAAACTACAGAGTCATGCTGAATCTTGAGGTGCATGACAGCGGTAGAGTCAGCTGCTGGTTCTTGGACTTTTAATTTTCCACTTGTACAATTTTGTGTAAGTGCAAAAAGATTCTAGCATCTATTTCCTTCTTACTTCTACTCTGTTCTGTGTCAAAGCTGCTTCAATGAGTGAAAAGCCAGGGTAAGATCAAGTAAGAAAGGGAGATTATATGTTCATTTTAGCTCTGATCACAATTTCATCTTGTTGGAGCCAAAATTTCTAAAGAGTCAGAAGAGAAATCATGGAGCCTGCCCAAGCGATAGTGATAACTAATGGATGCTTAGGGGAACAAGGAGACGTGGATGAGACATTTTTCCCTTGTATTTCAACTAATGGAATTTAGCGACTTCCTGAACCAATTTCTTCTCCTAGCAATGTTTGACTAATTCTTCTTTCATGATTTTTCCAGTTACTTTTTGATTTTTTTAATATTTTGATCTTTATAACATTCTCTAGCAACAGACTTTACTTTTAAATTATGCATGGTGCAAAATAGTACTTTAGTACTTTTTTTTAAACCTATGACTTGACCTCAGTCCTTGTATTGAAATAGCAAATAATATTTCTTTCTTTGCTTTCTAAATAACATCAATTTTTTTTTTAGATATTGCAATAATATCTAGACCTAGCACTACCCGTCATGTCTGTTTCATGTAGAAAATTAAAAATTGCTTGGTCACTCTTTGAAAAGCATGGACTTTTCATCCCATAGCACTGATGATGCTTCTTGCCCTTTTCTATATCTTTTTCAGATATTTGTTTTTGAGATTGGGGGACTAAAACCATAAACTGCTCTTGTATAGTTCTGAATACAGAACTTTCTATTTACATGAGGATGTGATAAGATCCTTTATTGCTATTTCTGTTCCTTTCTTAACAATTTATAGGACTTTATTTAGTTCTCCCTACTTGTATTGAGCAGCAACCCAATGTTTGCACAAATTATACACAATAAAGTCAAGATATATTTCCTGAGTAGTGAGAGCTGGTTTCTCAGCTAGTTAGCTCATTGGTGCATGAGCATGAGCAAATTTGGGAAGTAGTTTAGTTTTTGCTGTGAAATGTGTCAATGCTGAATTCAGTTATGTTTCATCTGCCTTTTATTATTCATTTACTCAATATTTTAGGATCTCTCTGTAACTCTTCGCACCAATATTTTTAGTCCACTGATTAGTACTACCAGCAAACTTTGCCACCTTACCAGACAATCTTTTCTGTCTGATCTGCATCCATAATTCAAAGCCCATATTTCCAAGCAGATTTCTCAGGAACTCTGTTTGTGACTTGTTCCAACCCTGGTGCTGTGGACAGGAACACCTTTGACTAGACCACATTGCTCAGAGCTCCATCCAACCTGAGGAGGGCTGGGGCATCCACAACTTCTCTGGGCAGTCTGTTCCAGTGCCTCACCACTCTCACAGTAAATAATTTATTCCTAATACCTAATCTAAGCCTGCCCTCTTTCTGTTTCAAATACATCTCCCTCGTTCTCTCACTGATGGAATGGGGTTGCAACTGGGACCTGACCCACGGTTTCAGCAAGATCTCAGGGGCAACCAGGGTCATAATAACAGGGGAGAAAGTTAGAGGTGAACGTGTCCTTACCTCTGCCAACATTCAGTCTGCTGACTTTTCGGACAGGTATTATGCAAGGCTCATTTTCATGCAAAACACCTTCTGTTCCTGAGGGAGGGTGGTCCTGTCCATGCTGCCCTTACAGAGGCACTCCAGCCCAGCCTGTAGCTTATTTCTAATTGTGCACTTGCTGACCTGGGCCAAACCCATGCCAGAGAATGCTCTGGCACTGGGTCAGTATCACTGATTATGGGTCAGCTCTGGAACTTTTGCTTTGGTCCTGTGTAATTTGCTGGAAGTTCTGTACACATACAATGGCAGCCCAGTGCTACCAAAACAGCCTTCGCCATTTTTTAATGATGTTGTAGGAAGACCAACTGTTTCCTTGGCAAAACATAGTTTTAGATTGTTTCTCAGCTTGTCAGCTGTGACATTTGTCATCAAAGAAAGAGTTCAAGTTCTTAGTTTTGGATCAAAGATTTTATGTAGCTTGTCAGGGTGCTAATAAAGTGTTTAGAATTCTGGTTGCTGGCTGATATCTGTCACTCTGTTAGCAGAGTCAGACATAAACATATGACTCAGTCAGCATTTGAGTACATGATGTTGTTTAGAAAATGCTTCCTTAAAAGCATTTCTACAGCATGCTTTTGGAAGAGGTTTCTTACAAAAGGAGAATAGCTTATCCTTGGTGGTTTCAGGTACCACAATGGGCTTTTGATTGGATGGTTACATGGTGTGGAGGAGCACCAGAAGACCACATGTCCTTTGTCTGCATAATAATGACTTGAAAACAACTGTTCCTTTCTTTTTAAATTTCTATTTACCTTTATGTTGAAATCCAGACATTTTACGGATGCTTTTCAGAGATATTGATAGAAAAATAAGTATCTTTTGGTGAATCCTACAAAGTCATGAAATGTGGACTAGAAATTCATTAAATAAGCACTGTATCCTTGAAAAAGTTGATCTTTGTAATGAAAACGTTTTTGATCCATCTTGACAGTTACTACTCTTAAAAAAATTAGTATCACTGCATGCCTGATTTTTTGCTTTCAGTTGAATATTTTTTCTTACTTGATGAGACAAATGAAAAGGCCCCAGTCTGTGGAGAGGAGGGAGTGTAGAAAACACAAATCTAAGGGAAGGTATTTTGCCCCCTGGGCCTTGCCCTGCCTGGGAGTGTTGTGCTCCTGCCTGTCTCTGCTGCCTTCACCTCAGACCCCGGGCTGTGCTGTGTCCTTTCCCAGGGCAGAAGCAGAGCACAAAATACCCTCTGCACCCTCCCCTCCAATGGACATCCCGCTTGCCCTGTCCTTGCTGGATGCCTGCAGATCTCGTTTTAAGGTGATCCATGACTCAGTTTACACACTATGTCCAGCAATCTCAGCTGCATCATTCTAAGCTTACTTTCATAGTAAACTTCTCTTTTTCCAGAGTGACTGATGAAGTGTATTACACTTATAAATAGGCAGCAGGGTGTTATTGAGTATACATATTTATTTTATAAATAAATCTACTAGTGAATCAAGTTTCTTCTCTGCATTTTTATACCCAGCTGGATACTGAGGATGGGGAGCTGTGACAGCACTTATTTCTCAGTCCCAGCTGGGCAAGCTGCCCCTCTGTGCTGCAACCACAGAAGGAGCTCAGCAGCAGTCCTGTTGTTACCTACATCAGTTGTGACAGAGACCACTTATTTTCTGTGGGTTAGTCATAACAGAAGAGAATACAACTGACTCATTTAAAAGTTTAAATTCAATCACAGATCTTGGAAGACTTGACTACTTTAAAAATTCCAGTGAGAAAGTGTACTTTTTCTTCCTTTTTTTTTTTTTTGGCTCACTGAACATGTCTATTTTAAAATTATCCCTTAGCCTCTATTTAGAGTTTATGCCACAATCCATCTTGTCAGATTTTACAGTAAGAATTAAAAAAAATATTCACAGATATCCTAAATTGAGAAGGTAATAGTCAAATTTTTTGGTTGACTGGTTGACAATGAAGGAATTTTTTCTTGCTGAAATAATCCAATTTGTGTGAAATGATGAGTATCACATATCCATGCTGATCAGATCCTCTAAAATTGTACTTTTCCAACTGAACTCTTAAAGATGCTGCCATTCTGTCACCAAGGTGAGTGTCTCTAGTGCTGGCATGATTGGCAGTGGATTGCTCCAGTGGGGTGCACAGAGCAGCTTCCTGAGCCAGGGGAACCTCAGAGGGAGCTGGAGAGAAGAACTGGCTGGATGGCCAGGCTCAGAGAGTGGTGCTGAATGGAGTTAAATCTGGCTGGTGGCCTGTCACAAAGGGAGCTCCCCAAGGCTCAGTATTGAAGCCTGTTCTGCTTAGTATCTTTATTGATGATCTGTATGAGAGGATTTAATACACCCTCAGCCAGTTTGCAAGTTGGGTGTTGCTCTTCTGGGTAGGAGGGTTCTGTGCAGAGGGATCTGGACAGGCTGGGTAGATGGGCTGAGGCCAATTGTATGAGGTTCAACAAGGCCGAGTGCTGGGTCCTGCCCTTGGGCCACACCAACCCCATGCAGAGCTACAGACTGGGGCAGAGTGGCTGCAATGGGGCCTAGTGGGAAAGGACCTGGGGTGCTGGTCAGCAGCAGCTGATCATGAGCCAGCAGTGAGCCCAGGTGGGCAGGAAGGCCAGTGGCATCCTGGCCTGTATCAGCAATAGAGTGGCCAGCAGGAGCAGGGCAGGGATTGTCCCCTGTGCTCATCACTGGAGGTGTGGCCTCAGTCACACCTCCAGTGCTGGGTCCAGTTCTGGGCCCCTCACTGTGAGAGAGACATTGAGGGGCTGGATGAGTCCAGGGAAGGGCAACGGAGCTGGTGAAGGGTCTGGAGCACAAGTCCTGTGAGGAGCAGCTGAGAGAGCTGCGGGTGTTTAGCCCGGAGAAAAGGAAGGTCTGGGGAGACCTTACCACTGTCTACAAGTGCCCAAAAGGAGACTGTTGCAAGGTAGTGATAAGACATGAGGAAATGGTCTCAAGTCATGTCAGGGAAGGTTTATACTGAACATCAAGAAAAATTTCTTCAGGCTGCACAGGGAAATGGTTGAATCACCATTCCTGGAATAATTTAAAAGATGCGTAGATGTGGCTCTTAGTGATGTAGTGGGACTCTGTTATCTTACAGATCTTTTCCAATCAAAAAAATTCTATTCTACATGTGTATCATTTACAGTACCTGAAATCAATAGTATTGGTACTCCACTTTTGGTACTGTCTTAAAATTTCCACTCATTGGACATAATATTCTGCAGGTATTTAAAAGATGTATAGATGGCGTGCTCAGGTACATGGTTTAGTTTTGAACTTGGCAGTATTAGGTTTATGGGTGGACTCAATGATTGTAAGGGTCTTTTCCATCCTGTGTGATTCAGTGACTCTATAAAATCCAGCACGCAATCATACTGCTATTATTCCCCAGCAAGACTTTTCATAACATGCTTCTGCCTGGGTGTAAGTTAACAGCATCACAGGTTGTCCTTCCTTCCTTCACAGTTACTGTTTTGAGGAGCCCACTGTGAAAGCAGATGTGTGGCTGTGCATAAATTGTGACTTGAACTTATCAAGCTGCAGCTGAACAGCCAGAAAAAAAACAGCCAGCAAAACCCACAAACCATGGTCTGACAGCTCTGTAGCTATTTTTTGTCAGTAATAAACACATGCCAGTGATGAAATTCTGTGCCTAAAAGCAGCTCTTGGCACCTTTGCCCACTATTTGTATTAGAAGTAGTCCAGGCAGCAGGACACCCGAATAATTTTGGTGGTGAAACACCATTTCATTAATTTCATTAAGAAAATTTATTAAAATATAGTCAGTACAGCCCCACCAGAATTGACTTGTCTAATAAATATTCCGTAAATGATAAGGTATTTTATGTGATTCTTCTTCCATCTCTTTTCTCCTGGGTGTGCTATGGGTCAAGACAAAACCTGGTGTCATTCGTCCTGTGCTGGTGAAAGGAAAGAGTGCACAGCAAAAGGAGGAGCCTTATCAACCCAATCCTTTTAAAAAGTACCTTGAAGAAATCAGTGATCAAAATATTGAGCAGGTGAGTAGCTCTCACTCTGAAGGATTTTGTAGCCTCAGCTAATTTCCCTAAAGATGAAGGAATAAACAGATCCTTGTTTTGTCCCGGTCACTTCTTTTTTTTTTTTGCAAAGTGAGATGATTCCCCAAGGGGCACCTGGCTCCTAAAGGAAAGCTAAGATAGACAGGTGGGCTTTCTACAGGGCCATTTTTTTTGTGATGTAAAAACCTGTACGTTGAGAAGAGGACCTTTTCATGATATCTTTAAGAAACATTGTAAAAAAGGGGGTTGAAATCCTGTGCTTCCCTGTCAAACAGATGTCTAGACCATATCTACTAGAAAGTGCTTCCTCCATCTGGGGTCCAGACCTGAATCCTCCCTGAAGAGAAATGACAGCAAGGACTGGGCAAGGCTCACAGCTTCCTCTCCAAGGCAGACTGCAGAGGAGCCCCAGTGTGTTTCTGTTTCACTTCCAGTGCACAGCTCCCCCAGGTCCATATCCATGTCCCTCCACAGACTGAGGGTACAGCTGTACCACCTGTGACGGTGGGGCAGCAAAGATGCTGTCTCCTCCCACAGCCCTGTGCATGTAGCCATAGGATCACTTTGCAAAAACACATCTTGGACTGTGCTGACCTGTATGAAGCATTATTTCAGAGAAAGTCCAGATAAATGGCTGTGACAGCCTTTCCTGATGTATTTGTTTGTGTGCATTATTGGGAAAAAACCCTTTAATATTATACATAATCTGAATGTCCCTGTAAGAGTTTGTTATTAACCTATCCAATATGTTCCAAATCTTCTATCTGGAGGGAAGTAAAATGAAGACAATAGTCCTCTTGTCAGACACAATGTGAATAAAATACCTTACTAATTGAATTTCTCTTACTCCTGTGCTTCTCTACTCACATTAGACATTTTTGCAAAGGCAGCCCTCTCTTCTTCCTTTTAAAACAGAATTTAATTAAGAATTTAATTTTAGCTCTTTCCATTTCTCTCCATAGCTCTGATTTGATGTAGAAAAATCCAAGAACTCCTCAAGTGTACTGCAGCAGTACAGAGGAAAATAATTGTGGTAGGACTGGGCTCCAGCAACACATATTGATGGCATCAGAAGGTTTCCATAGAATGTAGAGATTATATAAAATAGAAGAAAAAATGAATAGAAATAGTGATTTACAGTTTGACTTTGAACTTTTGAGGTTGACAGTGAATATTTGAGTTCAGTGACTACAGGTGAGTTGATAGTGAGTTATTAATGCTTTAACTTACTGAAAACCTTCAGCATCCAAGGTGCTCTCATTTTCCTGGGATGAAAGAGCAGGAGAGTTATCTGGACATTTTACTATAGAGCTTTTGCCCATGGCCACCTCAGCAGAGCCTTCCTCTAAAGGCTGGGGAAGTCCAGACCTCCCCTTCATCAGGGCTGGACACTGATTATGCTGGCTATGGCTTTATTGATGAAAGGATTATGTAATTCACCAAACGTCCTCTTTTCAGACAAATACAAACCTGGGGTTATTGCCAGGGCTTGAAGCATTATGACATTTGAAGCTAACTGTGGAAACCAATCAACTTACACTTTATAAATTACGTGTGGCAGATATTGCTGAAATACTGACAGCGTAATAAGTCTAATATTGTTGTTACAATAGAAGGCAAAGTTATTTATATGAAAGCTACACATTAAAATGAACAAAAATTACTGCATTATCTTTAATAGACAGAAAAGTTGATTTCACAATTAAGTTCAGTTTTGCTTCCTTCATGTAAACAAATTATGTTGTACACTTTATAGTACTGATAAATTGGTATCTTTGTCCTAAGCTAGAGTAATATTAGAAGTTGCTGTAAAATACATGTTATTTTAGAAGCTCTTTATAAAGACATCTTTGTTGTGAAAAAAAGAAGTAATGACTTGTATTCAGATGGGTTCACTTAACAGAAACTGTTTTTTTTTATGTGAGAAATGGCTATATGATTCTCATTGTGGTCTCATAGAACAATTAATAGTATAATAATATGTGGACCTAGGGAAAACACTGAAGTGCTGAACAAAACAGCATATGCTCTTAGTTTCAGCTTCTGCCTCCCAGAGCAGGTTCATGGTACTGGTATTATATCCCTTCTGGGAGGAGGGGGCCTGGATGCCCAAGTGAGGATGTTCACAATCTTTCAGCACCTGTGAAACTTTCCTGAGGGATTTTAGTGCCTCTAGGAGGGCTGCAGCACTGACTGGAGAACTGGGCTTGGTGCCAAGACAACAGCTTGAAAATTGCTCTGGTTTTCTCTAGCTGTGGGTTTTTAGCCTGTAAAGACTAATGACTCATTCTCCCCCTTCACCTGCTCTCAGTAAAAGCATTTTTGGCTGCACGGTGGCTGACTTTCAAAGAGGGGGAGCTCTTCCTACCAATATTCCCCCCAAACTGGGCAAATTTACTGCTTTCATGGGATATAAGAGCTGGGAATTAAAACTAGGAGACTGGAAGTTAGGCATTCTGTTCTGTGTGAAAGAGCTGGTGCTAATCTGTCCTCAGATAAGAATTTAGGAGGCATTGATTGTGGCTGTGGGCCAAAGTGCTCATACTGTTACAGATTTTCCCTGTTTTCCTTTGAAGGTTTTCCCAGTCATGCTGGGAGGTTCCGATCTTACATTTCTATTCTCTCCCTCTCTCTGAGTTTTCTTTTCCTTTCTTTCAAATACCGTTGCCAACAACAACCTCTCTAGGTAGCGTTGCTGCCTCTCCTTCACGTAGCCCATCTTGAAAGGACAAAGCCTTTCAGACTGCATCTTTGAGGAGGGTAGAGAGTAGATGTGATTCCAGATGGCATCAGCTTTATTAATTTATCTCTTTTGATTTTCCTTGGACCTCTGCAGTACCTCCCTGCCCCGCTGAACCTCTCAGTGTGACACTGAGCACTGGTGACTATGTGGGTGACATTCAGTTGGAGACATAATGATGCAGCCAGCTGTAACTGCTGACCTTCAGCTTCACATCCCTCTGTTGAACACGCTGTGTGTTCTGCACACCACAGAGTAGCTTGTTTGTTTTTAATTTCATTGAGAAATGTTGCTATGTGGAAAAGTCAATTTCCTTTAAAAAAGAATAGTTTTTCTTTTAACAGGTAGATGATCTCATACAAATAATCCAAAGTAATTAACAGAGAAAAAAATATCTAAATTAGCAAAGATCATCTGGAAAATATGTAGTTCAGCTGACAGAAATCATTCATCATCTGCGTTCTGGGCACAGTGTATATAGATTTAGACTCATGTGTCAATAACATTTATAAACCAAGGAAAAGCCCCAATTTATTTTGGCTTTTTTTTTTCATGTTAGCATTTGCTGCCACCTTTTACTATTTTTTTCCCCCGAGGGTCTATACAACTGGTATTACTGTTACCTAGTGGATATCCACCCCTCAAACACTTTTTACACACAGAGTGTAATGTTTTTGAGGTTCCAATCCAACAGTATTAAGCTTCCCACATTTTTAGATGCCTTTAGATACTGGAAATTGTATTTTTCCCATCATGAGAAAGAATTTTTTTCCTCTTAGTACATTTCAGTAGCATTCCAGGAATTTTCTAAGTATATTCCACTTTGCTCAAAAAAGAGCCATGAAATACACTGGAACTGGAAATAAATCTGTAACAGTGCTGATACGACAGCTTTATGAAGATTTTAATTTGAAATTGGGGAAACAATTTTTTTTTTTGAGGAAAGTTAAGCATTTTGGTACATAATTATATAAAATGACTCATAAAGAATGTTAGACAATTCATGTGCTTGCAAATGTTTATTAACAAAAATGTTTACAGACATCTTTGTCATTTAAAAAATAAATTACTTTGGGCAATGGAAGAAGAATGATAAGGATGAACTAAAGAGATATTAGCTACATTTGGTGTGAACCTGTGTGACCAGTTTGCAAAGGATTAGCATTAACAGCAGCTGGACTTGTGCCTTTGAAGAGGCACGGCAGGAGGCAAGGCTGGTGTGAAGTGGCTGGGCTGCTGCCGGGCTCTGATCCTCTGTTTGCTCATGCTCACTCTTTTGGTGGGCGATGCATTAGCTTCTGCTGGAACTAATCACAGCTCTTGTCACAAATTTTCTGGTTCTTTGACTCAAAGGCACAGCACAGTGGAGTTGCTGGTCTAGACAGCCAGCCAACTAAGTGAGAATCCAGGATGTATTATGTCAACAGCCTTGACAAAATCTAAGTGCAAGATGTGTGCCAAAACCTGGGTATGCCTCCTTGACTCTATCCCAATTCTTTTGAAAATCTCTTTTTAAAAGGGTTGTATCCCTAGGTGCAAAAAGAGCATACATATTGAGTTTTCTTAACCAGAAACACTATTAACTGCTGACAACTTAGAGCAGCAAAAAATATTGTGTATGCGCCTTCTCTGGTTTAACACTTAAATGTCTCAAAAGTCTTGTTGGAGCCTTGCTAAAAACCCTGGACTGCTCCTGCTCATATACAACTGTCTTTTGTACTTTTCAGACACCGTTTTTACATTGGTTTTGTTCCTGTTTTATTAAATCCCCCAAACATGATTGTTTTATCCTAGCACAGGATCCTTTAGGGATTTTCTTTTGTGTTGCTTGAGAACCAGTTGAGCTGCAGGAGGGAGATGCACTGGACCCCAGTCAAAGTATGACTGGTTTAATGGGACATCTACTGCAGGTTTGTGTATGTGCACTGTCATGCCAATGAAAATATTTAGTGTAGATCAATTGTATTGGCATGAAAGTTTAATACCTTTCCTGGTTAACCATCAAGATCTATGGGACACAAAATGGTGCAAGACAAGCACTTTGCTTTCTGCCCAAACTTCTTTTTTTGCACCCATTAATTTGTTTCTGTTTACTTTTTGTCTCCTACACCCTCTGTATCCAACAAACTGATCCCTCCAACTAAGTCCCCTTTGTGTCCTCCATCCATCTCCCTCACCGACTGTCCAAACCCTGGACTTTCAGCCACTTCTCTTCCATTGTGAGTGATGTTCATGAGAA